AACCTGAAAAAGGTTTACCGCTTCTTAATTTCATTTGATGCATTGAGTTCTGCTGCAGTTGATTTTTATGCTTTCAACTTCGACACATTTGATAACATACAAATATATCCCTGGGAGTGAAAATGAGTTCAGCTTAATTGCTGCAATGCGATTTGCAGGTGTATAAACAGCACAGGATAATAAATGTGTTAACAGAGCCTCGGTTCGTGGTCTGCGTGTTTGTAAATCCCCCCCCCCCCCCCCCCCCCCCAATTCCCCCTCCCGCATGTCCCGCATTTTGCTTGCAGAAAGGTGGTCACCCTATGGACACCGGAATGCTCGGATGCTGAGGGAGAGGGCGACAGAGGCGACAACTCGCTGCGGGGGGCGTGGGTGAGTCTCTCCCCCCCCCCCCCCCCACACACACACACACTCTAAAAAAAAAGAAACAAAAAAAATTTAAAATTGTAGCAAGGGTGCGTTTTCCTCCCTTCTACTGACGCGCCCTCAAGCGGACACAAGAAGGAGGGAGGAACGAGACGTTTTCTTCCTTCTCCAGGTAGACAGGAGAAAGGTTCCGCCCTCCAGGCTCCCGCATCATCGTCTTTCGGATTCGTTTTTCGAGCACGTCGCGCGCGTTGTTTAATAAATGTTTTTGAATTGATTGAGCTTCAGCGGCAGCAAAGGCCGCCTGTAATTCCGTCTCGCAATCCAAACGTGCGGAACGTTTCGGTTGCATTGATGTTTTTACCATTAATTCTATCATGCGAGCAAACGAAGCCTTTAGAATAAGCGCAGTTTCGGAGCTGTGCCAACAGCGCTGCGGACACTGGGCTAGGATAGCCGCCTCTGGAATGTGGAACGACGTGTTGACATTTAAGACGTTATGGAAACCGTCCAAGACAAGCAGGTTTCGCTGCCGGGTGCCTGGGTGCCTCCTGTGCTGAGTTTGGTTCTGTTTTCCGATGCCAAGTGCCAACCGGCAATCAACATGGTCCTGTATTTCTGCGTGTCAGCACCATAGCAGCAACATCGCGGTGGCAGTGTTGTGCGTTGTGAATGGAAGACCGGAATTATCGCCGACGTTTCCGTGTCTTCGCGTATCAGTGGTGTAACAACAAGATGAGATGACGTGAACTGTCGGTCATTGATGCCGCTGGTCGGGCCGTTATTGGAGGAGGCGGGATGGTCGCAGCTTAGCATTCCGCTTTACACTAAAACGTTTTAAGACCGCTTGAGGGATTACGGTGCAATCGACCGATCGGCGGATAGTCATGTTTGAACACATGGTCTGAACCGTAGGTCCTATCGTACAGCGGCCAATGTGACTGACGTATGTGATGTTCTGTTGTCTCCAAACCGAGAGCGATTGCGCTCTGGGGAAAGGGCTGAACAGTATGGAAATCTGAGGGAAAGTATGTTTATTTACAGTTTGTAATGTTAGCATGAAGGGCGGATAATAGCTAAAATCGAAAAAAAAAAAACTGTATTTTCTTTTGCTGTTTAAATATGCTACCGTTCCTGAATAAACTGCCCTCCAGTGGCTCACTTTGATGAGCGCAAGAAGTTGTCGGGTTCACCACGGCGTAGCTACGTGCACTTAACACCTGCCGCAAGTCGTGGCTTTGACCACATTCAAGTTGATCGAAAGCGATTTAGCTGACCGTGAGGCATCACTTCCAGCTAAGTGAATACACCCTCTACAGAAATTAATTCAAGACAATTGCAGCCGCACGCGAACAGTATAAATAGGATACAAATACTACAACAGGAAAACTGGCTACGACGTGCCTTGTGGGGAAGCAAGCACATGACTCGGAACAACGTTGGAGCGGCTTGTTTTATTGGCTTTCAAATAATTACGGCTCGAGCGTTTACAAAATTCATCCCCTGAGCCATTCAAAATACTTTCAGAGGTATGACATTACCGAAAAAAAGAAAAATCAATATGCTGAGAATATTATTTATTGCTCCACTGAGAAAATCCGTACCTTCAAAACGACTAGTATAAGAGGCGGAAACGCAGAGCTCAGAAGTAGTGATCGGGTTAGTGTGCTGTTGTATTGAGGATTGTATCTGCCGTGTGCAGTGTATGTGCATACGCTCAATGTATATGTTCAGCAGACCTACATGTCTGACTTGAGCTACCACATAGTATACGCGTCAGTTGAAATCAATGTATGAGTTCAGCTAATGCTTGTAATATGCGCGATATATCTAGCTAGATGTCTGTATATTAAAGGTGCCCGAAGGCTCTGAAGCGTAATGGGGGCATGAGCGAATACTTTTTTTTTTTTAGCACATGAATTGGGTGGTACCCAGCGCCACCTAGCCTAGCTACTTACAATTCCTCTGCTTGACCCTGCCATCTGGTGGCAAGCGATTTAGCCTTGTTTCACGATTCGCGATAATTTCTGGTTACCGTGCAACAATGAGCACTTTGAATTTGCTTTTTTGAGAGCGGCTTTTGGTTTCGTGAAGGGTTTACCACTCCTCCGTGATGTGCGGTTGACAAAAGAATTCTGAATCGATGATTGTGCGCGAAGTAACTGGGTATCGTTGTCGCCGTTTAACATCACAGTGCTGACGACGAGAAGACTGAGTAACTGCTTTCGAAACGCAAGCTTCTTTACTTGCGGGGGGAAGCTAGCTTCGGAAATAAACACAGTTCACGGGAAGCTCGTGTTGCGCTTTTATTTTCTGCTTTTATTGAGTTCGATTTGCTCGATTCTGGGCCGCCATAACGAGATGCAGGCGACGGAGGAACTTTGCTCCCCTGCTTTCAGGACGAAAGGTTCTCCCTTTCTGAAGGATGGTTGCATCACACTTGTTAAACACAAGTAAAACATAGTGCTTAAAAGCACCAAAACACACACAAAAAAAAAATGCAAACGAAAAAGAAGAAGAAAAAAAAAAAGAAAGAAAAGCCGCGCTCGAGTTTGGCCGGCGCCAAGCTGAAACGCGGCGGCGACTCAATCACGGCCACCGGACTGCTCGCCGACATTTTTCGCACGTTTACACTTGAGGATTCGCGAGGGCGGATCAGAGCAGGCGGAAAGGGGCTTTCGGAGCCGGGTGGAGAAATCGACTCGTCGCTGGCGAAAAATCTTGACCAGTCGGGACCCATATGCAAAATTTCCGCCAGCGACAAGTCGATTTCGCCACCTTGCTCCAAAATCCCCTTTCCGCCTGCGGTGATCCGCCCGCGAATCCGCAAGTGTAAACTAGAGTGCCTTCATGTTCGCTGAAGGCACCGTAGCAGCACCGTCTCGCGTGCCGGCGGTGGCAAAGAGAAGCCGGCAGGACTCCTTGTTCCGCCTGTCGGCTCACAAGAGCAGGACCGTTCAAAAAAGAACGAATGAAACATGCGCGCACATACGCACACCACTCGTAGACGCACACACAGTTACGTTTTCACAGCCCTTCGAAGGCACACAGGCCGCACGCACACACACGCACAAACACGCGGGCGCGCATTTTAACTTTTTTGTTTTTTTCTATAGATTACCTGAACACCCGATCACCACAGGAATAGTAAATAGCCCTGAATTTGCTATCGTTGCATTTGCGCAGCGTCGCCCACAGATAGTGCCTTCTTTTCTTTTTTTTTTTTGTAAAATTTGCAAAGAGCGAACTTACCTGAGGGAAAAGTAAAGAAAGACAAAGACAAGAGACCGGTGGCTCCGCCGCGTTTTCCTATGGAAACGCCGGTCTTCAAATAACCGGTCTTCAAACAACACGGCGCCGTTTCGCACGGGAGACAAGAGATGGCGCAAGCGGTCGCGACGCCAACTGCCGCCAACGAACGAGCATACGACGCCGAGCCGGCGTCCTTAGCAGACAAGGAACTGCAGTCCCTTGTTGTTACTGCGCCTGTTTTTGCTTCTGCGACTGTCGCCGCCTGCGGAACGCGCGCCGCTTTTGTGTTGAAAAGTTCGTATGCAAAAGACGCCGGCTCTCGGCAACGCGTATGCTCGTTCGTTGCGCCATCTCTTGGTCTAAACATTGTTTAGACCAAAAAATCGCAGTCTGAGTATGGTGCCTGGAGCGCGTCTTCGACTGGTGTGTTTAGCGTCCTATCCCGCCCATACATCAAAAGTGGTCCTGATGTGGCAACAAATGACGCGAGTGTCATGCTGTTGCCTGTCGCGATCCTGGCGGTTGGCCGTAGAAATGCTGGCAAAAAGCACGAGCGAACGCGAGTGTCGCTGTCGTCACGGCGTCCCTTTAGGCGTCCCAACTTCCGGCTGCACTAGCTTCCGTGAGCTGTCACAGTGGAAAGCGACCTGCAGCAGAACACGCATCTGCTACATACACCGTAACTGTTGGGACGCCACCAGGGTCGCAACCGGCGACAGCATGACACTTCTATGACGTCATCAGGCGGAAATTGAGGGACCACTTTTTTGGCCGCGGTAAACACACCAGTCGGAGACGCGTTCCAGGCACCATAGTCCGAGTTGTGACATTACGCAATGCAAGCGTGACGTCTAAACATATGTTTCGGCGTCGTCATTCGCTGAGCTGCCTCCGTAACTCGCGGTGATTGGCTCTCCTAGTGTTGTGCGGGAAAGTAGAAGCACGGGCTTTCTTTAGAGTGTAGCACCATGTTGATAAAAGTAAGCGCTGACAGGAAACAATAACCAGAAAATGATTTACGGTTTCTTATTTCCATTTGATGCATTGAGTTCTGCTTCAGTTGATTTTTGTTTTTAATTTCGACACATTTAATAACACATTTGGCATAAAAAAAAGTACATCACTGGGAGTAAAAAATATTTGAGCTGAATTGCCTCGGTTCATGGTGTGCGTGTTAATAAATTTTAATAAAAAAATATAGGTGACAAGAGGAAGCAGGCAGAATGCTGGAGCAAGCGGGACATTTCCTCCTCCCCTCCCCAGCCTACCTTTCCCTCGCCCTGAACTCCCAACCTGTCATCGACTTAGGTGGTAAACATACCGATCAGACACACGCTCCCGGCTTTATGGTCATGGCAAGAAAAATCAGACCAGGGTCGTGGTTGCATTCCAGTATGTCTTTATTGAGCTTAAATAAAACGGTTCACAAACCGACAGGCTGTAATCACGAAATAGTGCTTCTGCTCCGAACACTATATCAATACTCTCGGTGATGCGCAAGAATTTTCATCATTTTGGTTAGAGAACGGTGTGAACCCAAAAAAGGGACCTCTTCTAAAGCAGGCAGACGGGAACGACGCTTTACGAAATCCGTCCACTGTTCTGGTTAGCTGATTACCCGGGGGCGACATCCGCGTACGTCACCTTGCACAACGGTTTCGGTTGTTTACGTACGTTACATTCCCGTTAGAAGGTCACGTGTAACCTGGGCAGCCCCCGTGATTGCTGGAGGTTGTTTTTTTTTGTTTTTTTTTCTCCTTTGTTTGGAACCGTCCACACAAATTGCATTTGCTTTGCCTACACTTGATCCGGTCACGCCTAGTGGCCATTCAAAAGCGAGCCCTTTTCAGTTTTAGTTACGACCACAATGAGAGATAACGCCAACTTAGGCGCACCACGTACGTGTTACACCAGTGTCTGTCCGTGCCGCGCCTAAAATATGAGTGACACGGACGCAACATGCCCAAAAAGGCTTATGGCGGATAGGTCTAGGCCTGATAGAAAATAAATGTGACACGCTCATTAGGCGCGTCTCATACATATTGGGCCAATACTTGTTCTTGTGACGCCAAAAATAGGTGTGCCACAGACGATTTTAGGTGTGAAACGGACGTGACATGCCAAAAAAGAAGCATCACGGATAGTACTAGGCGTGACACTAATTAAATGGCCTTGCAAAAAAAAAAGCTAGACATACCACGCCTAAAGTAGGCGTGAAACGGGCACAACATGCCTAAAAAAATGTCACGCATACTTCTAAGCATGACATGCCCGTGATATGACTAAAATAGCTTCGTCACAAAGGATTCTAGACGAAACATGGCTGAAAGAGACGCGACACCAATAGTTTTAGACGCGCCTAAAACAAGCACGTCGTGGGCAATTCAAGATGTGAGATGTATCGCGAGCTATTTTTTTGACAAGTCGGCAAACATAAGCGAGCAGTGAACAGAACATCCTAAACGGCCAATAGGCGTGGTCGGACCAAGAGCGTGCTGCAGTAGAGGCGCGTCGTTCCTCACAAAAGGGGCTCACACTATATAAGACATCTTCAGTTCATATACAAAATTAAACACTACGGCTATTCCAGGTATCTCAAACAGAGGATTGTTTCGTCTTTTCGCAGACAAGATGCCCGTTATGTACAACCGTATCTTACAGAAGGGGGTGCTGTCTGCAAACTAAGCAGGCAGACGAGAGGAGAGCGACTCGAGAAAGTAAAAATCACAAGACCGAGCAACGAAAACGGGGCGGTAATCCCAGCGGCGCGGTAACCAGGGATCGAAGCGGGATTAAAGCTTAGCGAACCAAATCCACCACCCAAAGTGCTCGAGATGTACAGACACAGCCACCGAATGTCGGAACTGACTCGGACCAGACACAAATTCCAAATTCATGCACTTCAAAATGCGCGTACAGCAAGTAAATATTTTTTTCTCACAAATCACACCGATGAAACTGGTGCAGCAATGTTTCTGTTTGTCCGACGCAATGCGGAGCCAAATTTTTCATACATTGTATGGTTTTGTTCCAGAATAAATTAATGTGACACTTCTTCTTTTACCCAATTAACCTCTCTTGCTTGATTGCCCTATCCAAATAGAAGAGGAATGTTCGAATAAACAAAGAATGACCAGCTGTCCGATGTGCTTAACCTAGCAACGCGAAACGCGAGCCAGATCAGGCTCATCTTCCTTAATACGGTTTTGAGATGCTCGAAGTCAAGGTCGAACAAAAACCAGACACAGCAGTTCACACTCCAATTTATCCCACTTGAGCTTTTGGTCAAACAGCCCCCACAAAAGCTTAAGACAAAGGACAAAACATACGAAGACAAAAATTTTTCACACCCAAACCCTTTGGTGAAAAGGATGGTGGCAACCAGTTTAGTCAACAGGCCGTCCCCCTTCTTTTAAATTATAAACCAGAAATGCGCGCGCCAGGAATTGTATGCCTAAAACAAGAAAACGAAACGGCTTTGCGACAACAAATAAAGAACAACAACAAGGGGAGGGTGAAACAAAGAATAAAGGGGAAAAACAAACTAAAAAAAAAACAGTCGTATACACTACTTTGACCCCTATGAGAGTATAATAATCATAGGAGCCATTGCACAACAGGGGGAAAGAATGCTAGCTTTCTCATACCCATCTCACTTCTTTGCAACCGCCAAAGAACAAACAAGCACGCACACATTTTTTTGCTTTTACCCCCGTCCCACAAAAATTGCCACTTCTCGGTGCGACGACAAACCAACACCGCTCCCACTCGTGTCGTTGTTCAGTCCGATGCGAGTGCACTTAGCGTTCCAGACATCACTTGTAGTTAACGCACGACTTCTAGATGTGCGCTTGACGACACACACACGCAGAACGGGTTTTCACACTTGCAGTTCGTCGCACCTTGTCCGACACATTTTATCGTCGACTTGCGTCCCTGCCCCCTTGGCTGATATTTCTTCTTGCGTCCGTGTCCGACGTGGAGTTAACAACGACGTCGATTGTGGGGAGAAACGAAGACCGCTTTGTACAAACGTAAATGTGTACACACACTCACTGGGGCGTATAGGTCCAGTGGCGGGAAGGGGGGTCACAAGAGACGGGGACAGCGAGAAAAAAACAAAAAAAAACAAGACGTAACTGTTGTTGTTGTTGTTCCCGCGAAGAAAGAGCGACGCGGAATCAACAAAAATATCGAGGCTGACTCGGCACGGTGGATCAGCTCTCGTTTCTTCTTTTGGAAAGGACGTCTGGCGTTACTGTCGTTGTGCTGCCGCAAACTTTTCTATTTGACGAAGGTGTTGGTAGACTGTCGTTGTGCCATCCAGGCTGTGAAGACATCCCTGGAAATAAAAAAGCATGGTGCTTTCATGAGCTATTGCGCTTGAAACAAACCTGTGGGCCAGTTTAATCCGAGTTAAGGCACGAAGCAATACCTTCTGCATGGTACATATCCTCAAACCCTGATCAAGATGGCCAACACGGAATAAGTTTGAAACCTCGGTCCGAATATGGTTCTACAGTCTAAAATGGACGCTGCAACGTGCAGTACCACCGTGAGCTTTTACCGACTCTAAGTGATATTGAAGAGTTATTAGACTCTCCAATATTGACTAACTCTTGTCTGTCTTGATAGATAACAAAACAAACCCTCCTATGTCTTGGCGTTGATGCAATAAAGCAGACCTTGTTGACAAGAACAAACATACCAGGGAGTGTATGGCACATAGCTACGTTTAGATGGATGGCTACGAATTGCTAAAGTGTGCTTAAGCTTTACTTGGGGGAGGGAACGGTCAGAAACATTTTCCACCTCAGAGAACTTGTGAAAGCAACACGAGAGATCCCCCCTGTGCATCCCAGAAAACCAAGTTTGAGGACCTGCTGCGTGGCGTCGTAGCTTCCGTGTCGGCTTTCGGAGCACAGAGAGTAGGGTAAGAACCCTAGGCGGTCTCTTCCCCTAAGGGTCTTTGGGGCGTCGCTCACAGCCTAAGTTGCTTTGTGACGTAAAACACCAATTTATTGCCCATTTTGGGAAGCTGCGCTCCAGGCGGCATGACTGCAGTACACTGGCGTGTACCGCAGTAATGGGACACAATACACTGGCGTGTTTTGCGTCCCATTTCGCCCATGCGTCGAAAGTTGTCCCCAAGTGGCAACAAATGACGTCACAAAAGCCGGAGCGTCGCGCCGTCGGATGTCAAAATTGTGGCGGTTGGGCATAAAAGTCCCGAAAAAAACTTATTGAACGCTTAAGCTTCGCCTTTAAGAGTGGAACGCGACAGCGAAACATATAAACTCCCGCTTGTTTCCAAGCTGCGCAAGCGTGCCTCGCGTGGCCGAGTCAGTGGCGTGCCTGGCTCGCAACCGAAGGGTTGTAGGTTTAAATCCCGCCCAAAATTCTTCGAAATTTTTTTGAGGGCAAATGAATTACTTTTTTGTAGAGTGAAATCATTTGAGACACCCAGCAACCTCTAAACCGCATTGCACATCATGCTTTTTAATCACTTTCATTCTGCGCGTGATGTCATGTTTCACGCGAACATTGCGGGTCGTTCAAAATTCCCGCGCGAGGTCACGACCCTATCGACCAATCGGATTTTTGTGGCACGCCACCAACGCCGGCTTTTCTCGTCACGCCACCGATGTAGATTTTCTGTGATGCGAGCTCCCTGACGCCGCCGCGTTAAAAGGCGCAACAGATTGCGGGCGTCGCCGTCGTCGCGGCATCCCAACTCCCGGCCCCGAAGTTTCCGCGGATTTTCAAGCCGGAGAGAGACCCCAGGCAGAAGGGCGTCTGCCACGTCCATTGTCACCGAGGACGACGCGACGCCTTTACGGCGTCGACGGGCAAACATCGAGGAACCCCTTTCTAGAAGGTGGTCAATGACCGATCGGGAACACGTCGGAGCAGCACGACGGAAGACAGCGTGCTCACCTGCAGTGGGAGACGACGCACTCGCTGCTGCAGTACTCCTGGTCCCAGTCGTGGGACTCAATGGCTGGGTTGGGACAGCCGGTGCGGGTGCACAGCTGCGGAGGCGGGAAGGCCGCCCCAGCCCTCGTTGGTCCACCACTGGAAGCTGGGCTGGACATGGAGGGGGCCGGCTGCAGGTGCGCAAGCCGCCCGCTACACACAACACACCGCAGCGCTACTCTGCCCCCGCCTTGACGGGACGAGAACAACGGGGAGGAGCTTTGCTCGTCCTGCCTCCGACGATGCTCCAGCGTCTCGCGAGCCTCTGGCACGAACGTGCAGCCAAGTATGGCGAAAGCCAACGAGAGTGCGTCGGCGGTTAGGCATTTAAAGGGGGCACTCCGTCGCTCTCGTCCCGTCACTGACTTTAGTCTCTCTCCCTCTTGTCGGAGAGACCAACACCTCCCAGGTAGCAAGGCTGAGAGCCTCTCGGTAAGACGTCGAGTATGAACACTCTGTTCCTTGACCGTCTTGTTCCACCGCCACATCGTGGTTTAGCGCGAAGCAGGCGCAACTGACGATAGTTACGATTCGAAAATGCAATTCCTCGCGCTTCATACTCTGTTCGCCCTTAAGTTGACGGTGCGATGGGAGCCACATGCTCACCGGACAAGTCGTACGTCTATCCGTCACCGCACAATCCCACTTCTGCCAGTACCCACGCACGAAGAGCGAGGTCGGGCGACGAAAGGGAGGTGGTTGGTTGGTCCGGCAAGCGAGTAGCCCCTACCGCACTGTCAACTTAGGGTGAACAGAGTATAGGTGCAGTGCCAGGTAGCTCGGACGAAGAGTTCTTGCTCCGTCTTAACATTTCTGGAGGATGGAGAAGTGTTTCCTGGGATTTCAGATAAAGCTTCAGGCAACTGGCAACAATGCTTCCTTGCAACAGGATGGCCGAAACGTCGTTACTCGGAAGAAGCATCGTTTACGGAGTGGCTCATCGAGGCCGTGATGCAGAACGTTCTATGTCCCCACCTACTGCGGGCCGGTGCGGGCAAAGGCCAGGACGTCGTGTTCTCACTGGCTGAACACGAGTGCCGGCCGAACGGTTACTCGGCACTCGTGCCCAATCTATGCCCCACGCTGGCCTTTGGCAGGTATTATAGAATGATACCCACCGTGGCTTTGCCACCTGGGAGGTGTTGGAGAGACGCGCCTCTGGTCTGTTTGGCCAACACCGCCTACGGGTGGGCCCGGCGGCGCGTCAGCCCTTTAAAGGGGCCACATATTTCGGCTTCTTAACAGATTGAGATGTAATTTGGCACAAAGGTATAGTCAGATAGTGCACTCTTTTAGTAAAAATATTGAACAATGAATTTGCCAGCTAAGTGAAAAATCGTGAAGAAAAATCTTTTTGTTTTCTATACGGGAAGTTTACTTGCATGAAACAATCGAACGACATGGTAGGTCACTGCAACCTTTATTTTAGAAAGACCAAAAAGAAAATGGTAAGCCAATTAAATTTTTTTTCCTTCCCCTTACTTTTCTGTCAAACAAAATGCCACAATAACCCACAATGCTATGGTTTCTGTGAAAGAAAAGGCTTTTAGCTGCACATTTGTCCACAGGACATGGAACTCATAGTTTCTGTTTTCAAGTGATAAATGCATTACCCAAACACATCTGTAGTAAATTGTAGCCAAGTCAATGCACCATTAAGTCAACCTCGTAGTCAGCATAGCATGCGCATTGAATTTACTATGCTGCCCACTTCGGTTAACAACTCTTCAATAAAGGAAGTTGGGACAAACAATAATGATAATAACAGGCGTGTACCAGTGTTGCCCCGATTTTCGGCTTGCAATGGCTTGCATGCTAAAGTGGCTAAAGCCTCTCACAGCCAATGCCAGCCACTGCAGCATTGCTTCATGCAATCTGTGCTTCGCAGCGTGATGCTCATTGTTGGGCGTGCATTATCACATAAAAATTTTTAACTGGACGGCTAGACCAAATCTGGGACATATAGCTGTCCCAACAGCTCCCGACAGTCCCGACCAAATCTGGGACATATAGCTAGCTGTCCCGATGAGGGTCTCAGGACGCTTAATGAAAAGTCAAGACATCCCCACAAAGTTTGAGTCGGTGCTAACCCTAACTCAGTCAACTGCAGCTTACGGATTGGACACAAGTGCCGTTACAGCACTTGTCTCATGTTAAATCGTTGAAGCACCGATCGAACAAAATGCTCAGCAAAATGCTGCTCAGCAAAATGCTGAGCAGCATTTTGCTGCTCAGCAAAATGCTGAAGCAGCGCTCGCATCCAATCTGTGCACCACGGCCGATAGAGGCAGGCGACACGGTGAATTCAGTGCACAAAGCTTTTTCGTATCTAGATGAAGTTCGTTTAATGGGTGATTTAAACTGTCTTTTTGGGGCCAGAGTACAATCCTTGCATGAGGAACACTCTGTGGTCGGTGACAGATTATAAGCACACAGGACAAACTCCTCCTACTTTAGCAGAGTAAACATCGGAGAAGAGGTGGGGAGGTGTTTGCCTCCTCTCCAACTTTTATTCTGCTAAAAGGGGAAGTGCAGAGGACTTTGTTAGAGGAGCTTATCCCGCACTTTAACCTGTCGCCGAGTACAGAGAACCTCTAGCTTCGTTTGATTGCCATTGTTCTTTAAACCCTGTTTCAGCAAAGACGTGCAGCTGGTGCGTTTGACAGAAATCGGAGAGATACCCCACGAACCAGTCATGTTCGAAAAGCTGTCCTGTGTATATCCCGCAGATATCTCTGGTTGGCTGGAACCTTCCCGCATGCTAAGGTCACACAGAGAAAAATACCGTTGCAGCTGCATAGTGGAAGAGGCTACTCACTGCGGACATGAGGTCAGCCGTGTATGAAGAAGTGGTAACCGGGGGAGAGTGCATCATCATCTGCTGCGGCGACGAATGCTGCTGCATCATTGGTGCGCTCTGCGCCATCGGGTGCTGGAACACAACACCAGCATCGTCGGAACAAGGATTTGTGTTACAGTCCACAAATGTCGAAGTTTACTATATTCCATTCGAGTTTTTCGGTTTTCCCCGATTTTGATCAAACCGGCTCAAAAGATTACCTCAACGTCCCGAGAGGTGCCCAATTGCCAAAAGATAACCTACCCATACTTTTTGGCATGATTTGCATTTTTTTTCAGAAACACCAAAAGATAGCCCACTTCTAGTACCATATATATTCCGGATTATAGTTCGCACCCGGTGCATAGTCTGCAGGAGCAAACCTGGTGTCAAAAATAAAACTTTTTGCTCAGATAGTCGGCACCCAGTGCACGAAGTCCATACGCCAAGCAGGGTCTGCATTTAGTGCTAGTCCAAACGTAAAAAATGATCATACTTGACAAACGCGTGCTGTATTAGCTAGCAGAAGCTTTTATCACACATAAATTAACATTGAAATATACTATGTTATTCATAAAATCCTTCACGTCATGTTAGAGTGAACAATCTAGCAAAAAGCACATCCTTGTACTATAGTCTGCACCTGTAGATAGCATCGGGTAAAATGTAATATTTTAAACATGTATGCGGAGGGCAAGTCGACTGCTTCTTGCGCAGGAGACGATGTGACGTCAAAAAGGCATCGAGCTCTGGTTGGTTCTGACTGAAAGATAGAGGGTAGACCTCAAAGCAAGCTTCCCTAAGGTCTACTCCTTAATGGCCGTTTACACTCATGCGACCTCTTAAACCTGGGTTCCTTAAAACTTCTTAAACCAGAGAACACACTGGCGCCATCTATTGGGAAGCAGTGTAAACTCGGCGGTCTGGCATATTTTTTTTTTTATTTCTTGCGCATTATCCTTTTTTTCTTGGCTCGAAAAACTTTTGTCAATGTTATAAACGAGCCTTTCTATGGGTATTACGCACATTTGACCTCGGAAATCCCGCAAAACCTTCGCTCTTGTGAAAAGCAGTTCCAGGGTCACCGCATAGATGGCGCCACAATGCCAGTGTGTTCCCTCATTCTAAAAACATTTAAGAAGTTTTAAGAGATCTCGTCTCTCTCAGTCGTACTCGGTCGCAAGAGTGTGAACGGGCCTTTATCCTTCATTCAAAACCAATCGGAGCTTGGCATTCTGACGTCACCACAACCCTTGCAAAAGAAGCAGACGAACTTGCGCTCCGCATAGTCTGGAAAATATGGTAATTGCAAGGCCCTGGCCAGCGGTGACCTCGGTAGAAAAGGTGGTGCAAAGTGAACATTGCTGACTGGGAACAACGGTCAAATTTGGTTCATTTGGTTCCCTGCAATCAAAAGTATCGCAGGTCACAAAATCTAACACTAGCACTTTTAAACTTCATTTTATCGCACACCAAGAGTTAGCTTACTCTTCATTAAAGCGATAGCGATAGCTCCTGTCGCAGAAAAGCAGGCGTTGGTGGCATGGGACGGAAAATCCTGATTGGTCATTAAGGTCATGACGTCACATCCACATGAATTCGCGTGAGAATTTCAAACATCCAGCAACTCTCACATGAAACATGATGCAACATGAGGAATGATCAAAACATTACATGTAATGCGAAGTAAAGGTTCCCACATGTCTCATATAATTTCACTTTATAAAATAATTCATTTGCCTTAAAGAAAAAATTTGAAGAATTTTAGGCGGAGGCGGGATTCGAACACACGGCCCTTTGGTTTTCTAGTCCGATTTGCTTTCAATCTTAGGTGGGCTATCTCTCGAGATATTAGGGTACTTTTCGGGGTTCCTCGATATGCATCTAAAACACGGAACGCTAACCACAATCCAAGCCGCTCTACGGTCTGTTGCAGGTTTGAAATGGCTAGAGAAGCACCTCCTATAAAGCTCTCTGCTCGGCATGATTAGTGGATTTCTCTCCTTTCCACTAGCCTCCTCAATAGCATTCGCCCTGCTAAGCGGAAAAGCAGAGGACCTTGTGGAAGGAGCTGTCCTGCTTTCCTTAAAGGCAGGCCTAAAGAATCGTCTGCTGCCGGACAGAAAACCGGTTCCCAGCTTCCTTTTCTCCCTTCCTTCTCGCACTTCTTTCTTCTCCTCTTTCGCAGGAGCGGGTCTCCAAACTATGCCCCGCAAAAAGGAGGAGGGTCTCTTTATTATTTCGAATAGAAAAGAGGAATCGAGAGAGAGTTTTCTCCTTTCTGGCTAGTCGTCGGCCTTTAACCTGCAACAGACTAAAGTGGCACAGAATGCCATTGAACGTACGACGCAAGATTGATGGACCGAACCCGCGTCGTCCGAACATTTTGAGAGGAGTCGTGCACCCACCATGTTGGCCCAGAGGGGCTGCTGCGAGCCCAGCATGCCCTGAGGCGGGCTCATGGCCATGTACTGCTGGGGGTGGTGGTGCGGCGAGCCGCCCTCCATGAGAGAGGTGAGCAGGGGGCTCTTCTTCTGCAGGGGCGAGAGGCTCCCCTGCGGCGGTGACCCGGCCGTCACGGGCGATGCCCCGTACAGAGTGTCCGAGTGCTCCGCAGCCGCCTGCCGCCACAAGGCACCACACTCCATGCACACTGCCGCACTCCAAAACGCTCACCCACCCTATCCCGACACAGAGCCGTACACAGAGAGAGTCACACCCGTTCACTGGGGCGGACGGGATGGAACCGAGGAACTGCCATTGTCCGAGTGCGGGCTTGGTTGACGCCTGCTTTCTGACAAGGTCATGGCACTGGACTTTTTTTGTCACCTACGAGTGCTGTGTCAGTGTTCGCCTGGGACTGGTGTTCAATCGGTGAGAGCACGAGCCTCGGCCGAATGCTGACTCAGCATTTGTGTTCGATCTCTGCCCTACGCTGGCCTTCTGTAGATGATACAAAAAATCTAGCACTATGGCCTTACCATCTAGGGAATGTCAGGTGAACTCCCCACCCACAGCTTGACACTTATCATTTAAAGTGCCAATCTTTTTGCACACTGCGGTGCATCTGCTGCCACAGGTGCAAAAGTATGACGGCTCGAGTAATAAGTGTCGAGCTGGTGAAAAGAAGGAGAAGGGTTCGTACAAAAGCAGGCATCATCTGTGGGCAGTTCCTCAACTTAGTTGACGAAGTGATGTTGGCTAATAAGTGTTTACTCCACCCCCAGAAAATTTTCAATAATATACGAAAATATTCTAATGTGTAGATTACATCTGCTTTGCACAGTGACCACGAGGAGAATATGTGTCTCTGGAGGCGGCACTGCCGCCACCGTGGTCACACCCTTGCTCCTCTAATTGACCTACTTCTCTCTATATATGGCTCAGCTCTTGGGAAATATTAGGCCCTTTCTACACAAAGCTGCAATGTATCCTGGCCACTGCCAAAGTTGTCTTCGTGTGCTCACGCTGCATGTGCAATGAATTCTAAAAACCTACAAGCAATCATAACATGTAGCTGAAGGTATACGGACACCATATAGAAATCTACCCGAGACAACAGCAGACTTCTACCATTATTCACTTCTTCCACTGGCGTAGCCACTTAGCCTTTTACAACCATTTAGTCTTGAGCCATTAGACTAACCTAGTCTACCACAAGTGTAGCCCAAGCCACATGTTCTACAATCAGTCTTCTGCAAGTGCAAACAGCTAGTCCTCTGCCAGTGTAATCAGTAACATCACTAGTCAGGAGGGGGGGGGGGGGGGCAGACTGCCAAAGGTGCAGCGCTCAGAGGGCTGCAGCTGGGCAGTGAAAGGGGGGAAGGGCGGTGTCGCGGCGGGCCACGAGAGCCAAGAGGGGGGGGGGGTGTCACGGCCGCCCCGGTTGTTGTAGTGACACCACTGAGTGTAACTAGGCCACTATAGTGTTGTACACTTCCCCACTAGTGTCCTACACAGCTAGCCATCTGCCAGTGCAATCTATGCTTATAGTCTTCTACTACTAGTGTAACCAGCTAGTCTTCTAAAAGACCTACTGTAAAATACCGGGAGAGAGCCCACCCCACTTTCACTGAAAATCGGGTTAACCTAGACACGGGCGCATGTTCAGTCTAATTAGGTGCTTAATGTATAATTTGCAGAATTCCCAAGTTTGGGAAATGTTAATAGTGGGTGCTTGAATGAAATGGGCACTTCCACAGTATTTTACAGCATGTACCACTTCATCCTCCAAGAGTGTAATCACTAAACAGTTTATGACATCAGTTCTAGGGTGCAGCTGCTAAAAGCAAAGTCAGAGACACTCACCCTCGAAACAAGGCTAGCCCTGTAGGCCGCAAGTGCCTTGAGGTAATCCTTCTTGGCCGCTTCCGTCTTCTTCTTGTAGACATTCTTGTGGTCTGCCTCAAGACCGTCCCACATCGAGGCCACAATCTTGGAGACCTCACCGAAGCTCGCGTTGGGGTTCTGGCCCTTGATGGCCGCCTGGGTGTCTCGGAAGAACAGCGCGTACGCCGACACCGGCCTGGAGAACAAAGAGTCAGTGCGCAGGCAATTAATAACCATATGAGACTTAATTAGAGCAAGAGGATATGTTTAACGAGTGTGTCTACAGCAATTAGTATTACACCACTTGATTGGGGGAAAAGGATATGTTTGACAAGTGCACCTCTAAGTGATATGAGAAATAGGGAAAGCATAGTGGTAAATAAAGACCAGTTCACATATACAATGCAGCACTAAACCAACACAATGAACAACACTGATGCAGTGCTGCATCAGCACTGTATCAACATTATTACAAAGCCAGCACTGTATTAGCAAGGGTTACACCTAGTGCTGACTAATAGTGCTATGGTATAGTGTTCTGGTGTGTGTGTGACAGGCTTAACAGTGCCAGGAGAAGGGATCAAGTTCATAACTGCTCCTATGCCTAAGGCAATAATTGGCTAAGCCGTGAATGACTTAACTGCATGCTAACATATGCACCATATATCGTCTCCCCACTAATTACAATGGAGGGGATCGTTGTTTGTTGCCACTTTGGCCACAAGAATGCTGCTGCTGAAATGTGGGCTGATAGCAAACTGAATGTTCGTGGAGCGGCCGAATTGAATTTTTTTGGGGGGAGGGATACCATAAAACGCTGCATATGCTGTAAATCTTCCTAAAAAATTATTTTATTAATAACCATACTTTCGTTTTCATACACTAAAAGTTAAATTACGCATTTTCCGGACTATCAATCGCAAACTTCTATCAGACACACTTCCGATTGAGCCGTTTTCGCAGAAATGTTGGTATATAAGTCGCACCTCGTAAAAGTCGCCCTTCTTGGCACGGTTCACGCGGTGAATTTTTTGTTTTACGCGCATTGGTAATGCAATATTGGAGGATTCGAGTTTCGCACAATCGGCTAGTTCACACGTACTGTTTGACGCGCAACAGCTTCTTTCGACTTGCGAGAAATATGCCCAAAGCTTGCGGCACGGTCTGGCGGGGGCAATCGAGTGTTTCGCAGTAAAGGACGTAAAGCATACAAAATGAGAAGGTAGTCTGCTTTATTCGAGCGTACACTCAACGAAAGTTTAATGTTCTATACACTCGTGAACCAGGTTTTGGACCACTAGGCCTAGCCTAGGCCAAGTCACGGAGAAGACGCGAGCATCGACGCGCAGGCAGACAGATGAATCTTGACACATTTCTTTCAGTGCTGTTAAGATAAGCTAGCCGCAATCCTTCCTTTTACATGTTGCAATACCGTTTGAGCACGGCAGAAAGAAAGAAAGAAAGACACAAAAAGATTTTCTGCAGTGCGTGTATACCAACCAGTTATCTTTCAGTGTTACTGGTCTGAATGAAGCAAAAGAATACGGAACCATGGTTGAAATTAGGCAATGTCGATCACATGCTGTAAAAGCTTTATTCTCACTGCCTTGCATATCCAGTTTGAGCCTCTTCGGGGAAACCGTAAAATTTCTCGCTTTCCGAGTCAGTTATGAAATGTGTAGAAAAGTGCAGCGACAGCAGTGCTCCCGGAGAAGCAACACCACCTATGGCTGCATAGGTATGGTGCTCCGCAAAAGATGGCACGCAGTGCATAAAAATATTGCATCACTCCGTGAATATAAAATAATTAATAAAACACATATAAGTTGCATTGCTGTATGAGACACACCAAGAAAAATGTTTCAAAAAAAGTCGAAGCCGTTTACAACTCCCTGTAACGCTGAATTAGAGCGTAGCTCTTGAGGAGGAGGAGGGAAGGGTACTAAGGGTCACGTGGTCTCGGGGGGGTCACGTGCCCCCCCCACGTGACCTTGGGGAGGGGGGTCACGTGACCTGAGGGGTGCCACGTCACCTCGGGGGGTTACGTCACCTCGTGGGGGTCACGTCACCTCGTGGGGGTCACGTCACCTTGTGGGGGTCACGTCACCTCAGGGGGGGGGGAGTCACGAAACCCTCCCCAGAAATTTTAGCGCTAAATTTAACAGGGAAATTTTTCCGCTAAATCTAGCGGGGAAATTTTTCTGCTAGATTTAGCGGGGAAACTTTTCCGCTAGATTTAGCGGGGAAATTTTTCCGCTAGATTTAGCGGGGAAATTTTTGCGCTAGGTTTAGCGGGGAAATTTTTCCGCTACATTTAGTGGGGAAACTTACCCATAATCCACCGACGGCGACGCCACTCAAGCCGGAAACGAGTGCCTAAGAGCTGCACTCTAAAAAACCGTGACTTACACACCAGAAAATATGGTAGGCAAAACTAATGAAAAACTTCATTATCTGGATGTACATCACAAAACTGACCTCATGGCAGTAGTCAAAATGGCCTCAATTTTCCCTTGTGCAATGCATAGAGTATACTCATAGAAATATTTTGGCCAGTGTTTGCTAAAACACTCTGTATAAATATATTGTTTAAGATTGTACATATAAGCTACAAAAAATGTTTTACTTAGTTGTGGATACTCTAGGGAGATCATAGGTACCTAGGGACCCAGAGGCGGAACTGGCATTCAAGTCCCAAAATTAAAAAAGCTTGGGACAAAAAATGCACCTGGAAAACGGGACTGCCTATTTCCCTTCTTTAAGGTCCGTGAATTTATCTCCCTTCTATTAATTCACTTACCTTTATTTGCAGTACTATATTCACTTCAGAAAGACAAAGCATAATACAGAGTCAGAACAGCAGCCCTAACAAAAACTGTCATCAGAAACGAGCTGGCTACTGGTACCCCAGCTTCAGAGACTTTTTTTTTTAACCTTGCCCATTCACAGTAGTGATTTACACTAGCAGGGATAAAAATAAAATAACTTTATATGCCCATGCATCACGCTTAAAAAATGAGGTTTTTGCGGAAATAACTCTCCGCTCCTAGCAACCCACTCAACTCGCGAGACAAGTAATTTCGAAAGAGTGCGGACATAAATAAAAACGGAATGCTGTAAGCTCGCCTCGTGGTGGAGAGAGGTATGCCTGTCGGAATGTTCGCAGCTGTCCATCAATCAGCGAGCATTGCCTATAACAGGTGTCCACTTATAGTCACTCCCGCTTATGTCACAAAGCCATTTAATATCATCGCATATTTGCATTGCTTTGGTTGAATAAAGATGACATATGAAAAGGCATAATGTGCATGCCTGAGAGCGCCGGCACGGTTTGTGCTTGCAGCGTTTGGCGATAAATTATGATGTTTAGCGTCCGCTAGTTCAAAACCCATCAACGGCCATCATTACTAACGATTGAACTCCTCCATTACTCATCTGTCATCACTGACTAATGTTTCAGGTTTGCTTTGTGTATATGACGTCTTTCCCAGAAGACATGGTATTAAAACAATAAACAACACTGATAGCAGTTTTCCTAGTGGATGGCTACAGCCTATAAACTTGCAGGTTTTAAACTAAGAAAACACTCGTCACCTAGCGCTTGCAACTTGACTCACAGTTAGGCAAAACAGCTGCCGTTTGGTTGCTTTTTGTCTACTACTTTTCAGTCGCGTTCAAGTGTGGATTAACTCGTATTAATAAAATACTATGTTCACAAGTGTTTCTGTCACTCGCGCGGAAAAGCAACGCTGGCTTCTAAATTGTAGATATGGATGTGCGTCTTCATTTATTTTTCTTTCATGCGGTAGTCACGGTTAAACAGTTTAGTGCTACTTCTCACTCGTTAGAACGTTTCCTATATCTGCAGGAGTGGTCAACTAGTTCTGCGCTTCTGTTTTCCCGACAGAACTTGAACACTACTTCTGATATAAACGCTGAAAAATGTCAAGTCGTTTCCAAGCAGAAACAATTTCCATAATGTATATGCCAACGCAGAACTCACACACGAAAAATGTGGTGCCCCAATCTGAGGGGTGGTCACTGGTTTAACTGAAAGATGACAAGCTCTGCAGGTTGATTTTCCATGAAACAAAAATAAGGATTCTAAGTTTTTTTGTTTTTTTTCTTTTCAGGGAGGTGTTTTTAGAGCCATTAACTTTTAAGATATTGATATTTCATTCCTGAAAGGCTCCCTTAAATTATAGTGTTGTGTTTTGGTTGTTTTTAGTTTATGATTTCGGTTTTTGTTGCTATACAACATTAGGGAGACAGCTGGCTATTTCCGGGAGCTACAAGGAACAATGTAGATTGCGATGGACCTCGTGGCGATGACGATTACGTTGATTACGACCAAATTTTAAGTAAAAAGTCAACGGTTCGGAAACACTGCCAAACTGCAGTCTCAGCGCACGTGTGAAGGCGGACTCACTTCTGAGGTTCATTTGGATCACGCTTCTTCTTCTTCTTGGGAACCTTAGGCTTCTTGACCGCCTTGCCATTGCCGCCAATGCCGTTGTCCATTAGCGGCTCTGGAGAGGGCCTCTTGACGCCACCCACCAACTGCAAGAAGAAACAAACAAAACCCTCAACTTATCATCCCACAAATTGATTTGTTTCATCGCAAAGAGCATGCATGAAATCATGCGCTGCAGCTCACGACAAAAGTAGATCACTGTAACGAAAGCAAGAGGCTGTCCCACATTAACCCCTTAACCGTTTAGGACCAGTGTAGTTCGTCTGCGCACCCCACCTCGCCCCTTGGCTGTTTTGGACGACCCAGGTTCATTCAGAGCGTAGTTTGCAGTGCTGCTCAGAGATGGCAGCACATGTTTTTTATTGTACACGTTTTTAAGGATGGCGACCGATTAATAAAAGAGGAGGAGAGAGTTGGCGGAAGTCACGTGGCTGTGCAACTGTTTTTTTTCTCCAGTCAACGTATTTGCAGCAAGCACAAAAAATGGGGATAATATTTCTTTTCTATTTTTAATATTGTGTGTGTGCCTTCGATGACCCACCACATCGATTATATTTGGTGGTTGTGTCTAAACCATAAAAAAACGCCTCGTCACCACAGAGAAGATAGTGAGTGTGACTCAGACCGGCCAGTTCTTGATCGGCGGTTTTCGAGCGGAAAGAAACCGAATTTTGAGCCACAAATTCTGTTGCGGGTAGTTGGGCTCTCATATGTCATGTGGAAATAAAAACCTTGGCGAGCATAAATACCCTGTCAGTGTCCCTTTACGTATAAAGCATTATAGTAGGACTACTTGCAGTATTATTTATTTATTTACGTAAAAGCCCTCATTGCAGAGGGTGGGATTTAAAAAAAAAAAAAAAATAATTAAATATAAATGGAATATAACCAAACGCATTATTTACGAGATACAAGTATAAATAGGCTTTATGAATCAAACTGGAATTCTAAAATTAATTGTTGAAAATAACTTGAACGTAATAGGCAGTTTCTATCAAACAAATGGAAAACAGTATCAATCAAACAGAGATCAAAAATAAAAGTGCTATCTACCAAATACAAGCTCAGAAACCATCTACCAAACACAATTTGTCAAGAACACACCCTTAGGCTACCTATCCCACTCTTCAATAGTTCCAAGAAAAACAAAAACAAAGAGCAAAAACATCAGTGTGACGGGGGTGGGGTCGGATCTTGCCTGGCCTGGTCCACTCTTCCCTACATATAAAACGGTTCCTGTAAAAGCATATCCCTATTACCGGAGAATACCACGCGTATGCCCATTCCCAAATTCGTAAGATCTGAGAAAATATGCAAAGTACATTTACATGTAAAACTGATAACCGGAGAGGTGCCCACCCCCATTTTTTCGCGATTATCTCAAATTTAGAGTGGGCACTTGCCCGGTATTTTACAGGAATCAATAGTAGTCGCAATGAAAGTGTTGAAGACTTTTTCGTCGGTCAATGAAGTGTCGACACTGTTATCTATACACCGTAGCAGGCACGTAGCCAGGATTTTGTTTCGGGGGGGGGGGGGGGCCATCCATGTAAAAATGCTGTATGAGGGGGAGGAGGTCCAGCAAAATGGAAGATTTCGGGGGGGAAGCCCGGGCCCCATGGGCCGGCCCCCCCCCCCCCCCCCCCCCCCGGCTACGTGCCTCTACCGTAGGGTACACCAAACAGGGGTGCAACTCACCTGCGAGAGTGGCGTGCTGTCGTCGCTGTCCTCGCTCGTGGTCTCCTGACCAGGGGACGTGTGGTTCGACCCTGGAGGGGAACCGGACCCGTTGGAGTTTGTCCGAATCCCATTGGAGGGGGCACCCGGGATCATGCTGGGGGGCCCCATGAGTCGACTCTGGGCCGCCTGGGACGGGTACTGACCCCCGTAAGGACCCCCGGCCGTCTCGTAGGGGGACACGCTGCGAGGTTGGCAAAGGGCGAAACGGCATATTTGAGGTTCGCGTTCCAGAGATGAATCACGTTGGCTGTGTCCCAAATCTTGGAGACAAAGCTAGAGACTTCCTTAAGAAACACTGGCAACCACTAGAAATTTTTGTAATTTTTTTTTGCCAGGCGATTCAATATGGTGCCAGAAGACTACCCAGTCAGTATCTTGCTACAGAGTCACATATATTTTTAAGAAAGTAAAAAAATGAAACTGCTCAAAACCGAAACGTGAGCATCGAGTTAATGACTGCAACATGTGGCCTGTGGAGGAGGGAAAAATGTAGAGTATGATAGAGTTGCCGAAAATCATGTGACTACACCCGACCACATTTTTATTTTTCCTTTTGTTTTTTAGGTTGTGCAAAGCAGACGAAAAATGCGCGTGCTTGACGTTTGCATGTTTTTCAAGCTCTTATACCGTATCGTGTTCGTAAGACGAGCAATGTCTTCAGCCAGGAGAAGGGGCGACGACTGGGCGACGTCTTCGTGCGAATCAGCTTTGTGGTTGGGTGTGTCGTACAGAATAGCTTAAGTGTTTTTATCGGTAAAAAATTTCTCTTTCGAAGCTAGACAGATTCACCGGTACCGAGAATGACAGTTCTGAAGTAGAGGTCCCACGCCCGTCGTCTGCCGCCATCGCTTAGTCTGCTTCGTTTAGCCGCCCAGCCCACGACGCTAGCGATACGACGCCATGTTTAGAACTGCGCAGTACATGTGCTACCAACACTCTGTGTAACTTTTTTTTTTTTTTTTTTTTCAATCAACATATTTGCAGCTTTTTACAAGTCACAAAAAATGGACTTCATATTTTTTCCAGATTTAATATTGAGTGTGTGCTTTTGATGACCCATGACTTTAATTATATTTGGTATGTGCATGTCTGAAGGGCACGTGACCACGAAAAAGACAGTGAGCACGACTCAAATCGGCCAGTTCTTAATTGGCAATTTTCAAAATGAAAAAAAAAAAAAAAAATTAAATTACAAAGTTGTGTTTTGGGTAGCCGGGCCCTCATATGTCATGTACAAATTAAAACCTTGGCGAGCATAAATACGCTGTCAGTGTCCCTTTAAAGCATAAAATGCTTTTCACTGGAACCCCCCCCCCCCCCCCCCAAAACCAAGTCCAACCCCTAAATTGTGTCCGCCTGTCTGTTCATGCATTTCCCACTAAATTTAGCAGGGAAATTGATGTCACATGGCCTGTAACCAATTTAGTCTTTATGCTAGATTTAGCGAAAAACCTTATGTCATGTGACCTATAAACCAATTCAGTTCGCCTGCTAGGAAAATTGATGTCATGTGTTTGTCTTAACGTTATGGGACTCATATTCCAATTCAGTTTCCCCACTAGGTTTAGCAAAGGAATTGGTGTCTAATGACCTATGCACCAAGTCAGTTTCCCCTCTAGATTTAGCGAGAAAATTGGTGGCATGCCGTTTTATTCCACGGGGCCCATGCAGCAATTTGTTTGTTTCCCTGCTAAATATGGCAGAGAAATTTGTGTCATTATGTGCCATCCATTTCCCCGCTAAGTTTACCAGAGAAATTGAGAAAAATTTGGGTCTTCTTCACTCGCCAAAATGACTGTTTAATGTCGTTAAAAAAAAATTTAAATGATTGTCCCTCAGATATTGCATTTCTTGCCGTATAGGACTAGATATAAAAGTAGCTGCCAATTTCTTTTTAACCTTGGTTGGCAGTACCAGTATGCACATCCAGGGTGTCCAGGAAACAAAAGTATAATGCTTTTTCACCATAGAAATATACAATGCATTGCCAAAGGCACAATCTCCAAACAACTGTAGAGCTAGCAGTCTGGACTGAATACCAAAGTTTGATAACTCGCAGTTGTCCGACTCAAAAGTTATAAGCGATTCTCGGAAATTTCAATCTGGAAATGGGGTTCTTTCCCGGTAGCAGAAGGCATTTATCGCTGTGTAATCGGAGGCTCTGCGGGCTGCCATCGCCTCACCGAAAATTTCTGAAAATTGCTTATAACATTTGAGTCGGAAAACAGCAAGCTCTAAAACTTTGGCATCTGGTATTAACTGCTAGTGCTATCTTTGGGCAGAAACAGAGTGTTAGCAATGTCTAGATTTACATAAGAAAAAACATATTTACATTGCAAGAAACACTTTTCGAGTTAGCAGCAATTTCAAAGCAAGCTACTATTTCAAGACATTGACCCTCGAAATATAGGCTTGTTTCAGAAGCACTCAAAACAGTCTCGCAATACAAATATTGTGCTAACTGTTGGCTCTCTTTAGAGAAAGTTCTTTTTGTGACATGTGTGTCCCATCAAGGCACATACATAAAAAAAATGCTGTTCGGGAGTTCAGCGTCTGTTTTAATATCTCAATTAAGAGCGGGCGGCACAAAGTCCTGCCAATACATTGCCCGCTACAGTCCGACGTAAGGTCAGCAGTAGATGGTCCGCCTACAGCGGGAGTTTTCTAGCCTTGACAACACAATTGGACACACACAAGCAAACCCATCAGAAGGCAATGAGAGCATGCTGAAGGCAAAGCATCTTCCGCTGATGTTATGTTGCCCGTAACAAGGAGTGTCCCTCACCTCTGCATGTGCATAGGCTGGGGCGGAGGCGGCATGCTCATCTGCTGGTGGTACATGTCCGGGGGAGGGGGCCCCTGGGGTCCGGGGTAGGCCATGGGTGCCTCCATCATGCCACCCTGCCCCATCGCCTGGCCCATGGCTGCCTGCTGCACCATCGAGCCCAGCTGCTGCATACGCGCAAAGAGACAAGAGACAGACATAGCTTGTGATACATGCTTCCCATTTAGAAGGCTGACAAGCAAGCAGAGAGAAGAAAGTGCCCCTTGATTTGCCCTCTATCTCCAAGAGAATGAGGTGGAATAGAAAGAAGGACACCAGGAAGGGGTTTCCGCCTAGAAGAGAGCAGTGCCTGTCCGTTGGCCCTTAAACACAATATCACTAACAGTAATATAGTTGCACCTTAGGAGTAACTAGTACTTTATTAAGAGAGCTGCAAAGTAACTAACTAAAAGAATTTCAATAATCAGTAAGGACATCATAATTTGCACCGCAATATTAGTAGCTGTATCTAACCTACAGCAAAATCATAAACTCCTGTAAGGGCACCCACCCAAGAAGACACAGATGGTGAAAAATATGAGGTGGGCTATCACTGAGGATGAGACAGCAAAACTTTATCAAATATTATTGATAAGCACAAGGGGCACCAGCCAGAAACCACGTGACACGGGAGCCGATACCGCAGATCACGGTCACGCATTCGCTTTTCACAACGCGATAAACACGAGGGAGTTCGCTAAAAACACCTGTGTTATATTGGGGAAAAGATACCGCAGACTACGGAGGTAGCAGATTCGCGTTTCCTGTTGCGATAAACACGAGGAAACCGGCTAAACTTGCGTGCCACGAGAACCGATATCGCGAGCGCAAGTCAAAAAACGCGGGAACTTGCATGTCGCGGAAGCTGATATTGCGCGCGCAGATCACGGACAAAAGCGCGGGAGCCCGCCGCGAACTTGCTTGTCACATGTACCGGAACCGTAAATCGCGTGGTCGATGTGATTCCCGTCGCGTGATGTACGACGGGAATCGGGGGTGGGCGATGGATCGTTATTTTTACGCTACGGATATTTAGACGGAAAAACGGGATGGGCGATCTTTCGGGGGGAGGGGGGGTGCGTTTTTACGGGATTTTACGGTAATTACATTTTTAGAGTAACTCGTAGTTCATCTACCGAACTGTGAAGCGATTAAATGAAAGGTTAAGTTACTACATTCAGTTACAACTTCAAAAACTAAATAATTCGTAAGAAGACAACTTAACAAGCGCTCACCGAAAATTTGGAGATAACCTTGACAAGCTGGGGGATGAGTGCTTGTTAGGGCCGCGAACAAAAGTGTAAAAGGGACGCAAAATGGGGTGGGCTTCACCGCTTAGCACTGGCACGCGCGCGTCACGCTTCACTGCTTTGCACCCGCGTGCGGAGAGACCGTTGCCGCACGCTTTGCGCGCGGCGCAACGCCGCGGGTACTAAGCTTAGATTACGCCGGACCAATCAGCCGCCTCCCTTTTGCCACGCTATCACGGGAGCGTGATGACGTGGCAAAAGAGAGGCCTACGACTGGTCCAACTAGGACGTACCCACTACAGTCTGCGGTCTACTATCTGGATTTCTCGTTCAACAATGTTTGTTGGTGTGTTCCGTCAATTTTGAGGCAAATCGGGACGAGACGTCTGGACGCGGCGACACGAACGACCGCGTCGCCGAGGAGTCAAGACTCACCTGCGAGGCGTAGACGGCTTCAGCCGTGGCCGCCTCGTCGGCAGCCGTGGGACCTCCCATGTTTTGCAGGTTGATGGGCGGGATCTCGAACTCCTCGTCGCCGAAGCTGGGCGTGTGAAACGTCTGTGGGGGAGAAGAGGGCCAAGAAGAAGAGCATCCATTGTAGACAAGATGGACAGGTACAAATCAGAAAACAAAGAAAAACAGCCATCAGATTAAGGAAAAAGAGGCAGAACAAAAAAGCGGAGTGTAGTAAAGGAAACACAAGAAAAAGAGAACCATCAATGCTTTTTTCCTTCAAGGAATCATAAGCCAACGGCCGGCGCGCATGCGCAGCTAGCAGGAAAAAATGGCGGGCATCAAAAGAGCTCGGTGCAAGTAACACAGCGGTAAACCCGTACTATCCGACCCGCCCATTGCTATTAATGTAAAGCCCTACATAGGGTGCCTTCGGCAACATTCAGGCACTCTAGCTTTATATGCCTCACCGCTCGGTCGACCTTCAAAGTCCTTGAGCGAAAACACGTCGGCGACCACGAAAGGTACCAAAACGAAAGGTACCAATGAAACGGCGCCAAAAGTGCGTCGTCAGAGATGGCGCTGTCTTCGGAGGTTCGCTATCACGTTTACATCGGCACTGGGGCTTTCGTCTTGAAGTCGTCTTAGGGACGTAAGAGACCCCGTGTTCTAGGGGTGTGCGAATAGTATGGTTCGAATCGAACAGCACTGCATGACCAATAGCCTTCACGGTGCATAGGAAAGCCACAGTTTACCGGCTCTCTCCACAGTGCTGGAGCTAGGGATGACGCTGCGCTACTTGATTCCCAGCGATATTCGCACACCCCTCGGAGGGCAGGTTCGTCTGCTTCTCGCGCAGGGGGTAGCGGTGACGTCAGAACGTCGAGCCCTGATTGGCTGATCGCGCCCCCCTATCTGAGCGTCGTCTGCTCCTTTGCAACGTCGTCTGCTCGCAACGTCGTCTGCGTCTGTCTTACCTTTCCTGCGACTTTCGGAAGTGCAGAGGCCAGATTCACGAAACGATCTTACGCCAAAAATGTGCGTAAGACATAACTTAAGAACAAATTCGTATTCACGAAACGAAATTTTCGTAAGTTTTGCGCAGGTTACGACAAAATCCTACGACAGCTCCGAAGCTGTCTTACGCACTTCTTACGATCAAATCAGCATGGCCGACAACGTCGCGGTCGCGACGACCCACGGACGTTTATTTTTTTACGTGAGGTTCTGACGCGTCCCGACTTCAAGCAGCAAGAAAAAAGTAAAAAGTACTTGAAACAGACCACGACGAACAAGAACGCTGGATCCACAAACACCCGGGAAAAGCTCCCACGGCCACGATCCCACCGAACGCGACCAAACGAGCTGGGCAGTTAGGCCTAGCAGGCTCAACGCGACTCGGCGACCGTCTGCCCACGACCGGCTGGCGTGCTGAGTGGAATATGCCCGCGCGACCCTTGTGAACCCTTCCCGTATAATATTTTGATTGCTGACCTCAGTTTTAGATTAAAATGTCAATTTCTTCCTCTTGTTATCTCCTTGTTTCCCGAGGCAACGGTGATTCTCGCCGATGAAAAAGCGGTGAATCTCCGACAGACGCAGCAAAGGTAAAGCAGCCATCGCTTTGACCGCTTTGACTAGCAGACGTAAAGCAGACGACGTTAACTGCGCCAACCCGCCGACGCCGTTAAAGAGTGAGGGGTCTCGCCGCACACGAATGGAGGGAAAAAGTATTTGGGAGAAAACTTGCCTCGGTTCTAACTTCTAAGCAAAAAAACCTCGGCGCCCCGGGACACCTCGTCAGGGAGTCCTTTGACTTCCCTCCTTGATGCGCGTCTGCTAGTTGTTAGACAAAAACAACGTACCGCTCGAGTTATTGTGTCTGCCCTCTCTTAAAGGACACATGCAAAGGGAAAAAAAATTTTTTTTAGACAGCTTAGATGGAAAAAGGATGTCATTAAACGATTTTACAACGAAGAAACAAAATTTTTAGAGCTATATTTACGGCGCTATACGAATTTGTAGTTGGCGCTCGCGGGAGCCGCCGCTAGTCACGTGGTAGGCCCGCGCGCCGCCGCGCTGCGTCGCCGCCGCACGCTGAGCGTTGTGCGAACGCCGCTTCAACGCGTTTCTCCAAGCCGCCGTCGCCGCCGCCGCACAAGTTCGTCTGCTTCGGGGCGCCGCCGCCGTCGTCTGACCGGCGCACAGGTCTATCACGTCTGCTTGCGCTTTTTCAGGAGTTTCCTTTGGGCTCTAAAAGTTAGTTATTCGTCTTGGTTTTTTTGTTATACTTCAAACAAAGATGAATAAGTTACTTTTAGAGGCCATAGGAAGCTTCCGAAAGAGCGCAAGCACCACGTGATAATTAAAGACCAGTCACGTGATAAATACAGACCACTTTTCCGCGGTGCCCGCGGGCGCCAACTACAAATTCGTTTTGCGCCGTAAATATAGCTCTAAAAATTTTTTTTCTTCGTTGTAAAATCGTTTTATGGCGTCCTTTTTCCATCTAAGCCGTTTAAAAAAAATGTTTTTTTCCTTTGCATGTGTCCTTTAAAGGCGACGTCGAGTTCGCTCCGAAAGTCGCAGGAAAGGTAAGACAGACGCAGACGACGTTGCGAGCAGACGACGTTGCAAAGGAGCAGACGACGCTGAGATAGGGGGTCGCGATCAGCCAATCAGAGTTCGGCGTTCTGACGTCACCGCTACTTCCTTTCTTATGCGCAGAAGACGAAAATGAGCCCACTTGCGAGGCGTATAATCTTTCTTTGGCAGGCTGGACGGATGAATGCATATGGCTGAACCCTCGATATCTGGCGGCGGCTTGCGCCACCTAGCCAGAGTTTTTAACATGAAGAGTCAGGCTCTACAAATTGTACAAAACATTAGGGTTAAGCCGTTTTAATAGTAATACTGCTAAATATTATAAGTGCGACGGAAGCGCCTTATCGAAAACGGGTGCCCGTAATTCCCGCCCTACAAATAATAAACAAAAAATTTCACGTTTTCCATTCTGGTAAAGAAAGAACAGCAGCGGAGTCAAGGAGGTTATAAGTACTAGGAGAGGGCACGTTGCAATATTGGTGAAGCCTGGTCATAAAAAGTTTAAACGATTTTGTGCCCAGCGTGACCGCAGATCTTTCTGGCGATTGGTGCGCGTGACATGTCACGTGTGAGATGGATGGTTGATTGTGGAAGGGCTCCTTGCAGGCTTGCGCGCGCTCCGTCCGGTAGGTTTTATGAGATCGAAGGCTAGACTGCGGCAGTGTTGCGGAGTTGCCACTCCGGAGTTGGAATGATTCCGGAATCATTCCGCATTTTCGCGACCCCGGAATGGAATGGGAATGGAATGGCGGCAACGTTCAGGGGAATGGAATGGGAATGGAATTAGGTGCCTTTTGCTCGGTATGGAATGGAAATGGAATGGGCACGGTTCTTCCTTTTTTTTTAATTGTTTACGGTTAGCTAAACCGAGCCAGTCAGCGAGTCAGTTGCTCAGAAATAAAATGAGCGGGAAACTGCTAGCCCGCGAGGAGCCTTAACAGACTTATACGCCAGAAAGATGCAATACAAAAAACAAGCGTCAAAGCAAAGAGCAAAGCGGGAAAGGGGGTAACGTGGCGCCTTTCACGGACGCGCAGGCGTCGAGCTTCGATGGCGTTACACGAGAGCGAAACAAGAAACCAAGCACCAAGCAAAAGAAAAGGGAGCGGCAAAGAAAGAAACTGCCATGCACAACTCCTCATCGTACTTCTTGTCATGTTTTTTTTTTTTGTTCTTGTTGCGACGGTTTGTAGAATGCACGCGCGCGCACAGACTGAGATCTGGGGGGCTAAGCTCGGCGCGGCGAGATCGAGGCGAGTTCTCCGCCAAACTCTCCGACCGCCGCGATTGGTCGGCGCCGTGCATGACGACACGCGCCGACACTCCCTAGATCGTGACGTTAAACGGAGGGTTTGAGGCGGTCGGAGAGTTGCATATTCGGAACTCGCGGCGAGATGCGGTGACGTCATTCTGACGTGGCAGAAGCCGCCGCGGATGGGAAAAGCTTGCCGGCTCCGACCTAGACGAGTTTGGGCGAGTTGGGCGCGAGATCAGGGAGAAGCGTCCAAAATGGCAGCGTTTTCGTTCGTGTTTTGCCGTCGGCATAGGTATTTAAACTACGCCAATGTGCTTGACATGGACGACGTTCATTTTCAACAACACTATCGCCTATCGAAAGACGTGGTAAGGTGGCTGTGCGATCGTGGCGAACCGGGCTTGAGGCGATGGAGCCGTGAATGGACCATCGCCCCCGTCGTGAATCCTACATCCAAATCTACAAAGTGAATCCTAGAAACAAATGTGTTTTTACGGCAATCTGCAACCAGGAACGCAGTTTACCATTACCTACAGGCTTTTATAATTATTTTGATGGGTTGCTGCGCTGCGTAGATGCAAGATAAACGCACTTGATAAAATTCAAACTAAAACAGATGATAGAAGAAAAGCAATATACATGAATGGCGCAGAATAACAACTGTGTAATTTCTTTCTCATCTTTCTTCTTCCACACCGTATTTTGACAAACCAATTGGCCGTTAATTGTTTATACAACAGGAGAACATGCCAGAACATTGCGACATTGTCACCTACTGTAGATAAGCAATTTAGCCAGTGCAGTATGACTGCTAGCCTAGGGTCTTTAACGTGCACCACGTAGTAGTGATACACGACCGCATGCCGGTACGATGCTCATCAACATCGAAAAGGGCAGGGGTGGGGGTTAATCCACGATCCTGGGTTCTGCAGCCCGAGCTTTCGCTCCACGTGCACCCTATTCTGAAAAAAAAAAATATATATATATATATTGTGGCTGTGTGGCGGTGTGGGGGGTGAAAGATGAGAAAGAAATTACACAGTTGTTAGTCTGCTCCTTTCCTGTATGTTGTTTTTCGTCTATACTCTGCTTTATTTTATATCGTTATCAAGAGCGTTTTTCTTGCATCTACGTGGCGGAGCAAACCATCACAATGTCTAGTCAACTAGCCCACATCCAAGCAAGTTTGTATAATTAGCATCCCTGCTATTACCTATTCTTATTTGTCATTTACGATTTAAATAAA